GAGAAAAGATAACTAAGAAAGGATGAGAGATGATAAGTTAAACTTTGATGATGGAGTTGTTAAGATAATCTTTGCTTAGAGATAAGGTGAAATAAGATTTGCTAGGGTGATAAGACAATACAGGACAAAATATGTCAGGAATAAGGTTCACAGGCGTAAACATCAGTTGTTCTACAGGTTAAAGAGCTAGCGTGGGTTGGGGGCGGGTCCTCTGATGTGGTTTGCTCCTTCTTTCCTATCAAACATCTGTCGTCCTTATCCCCCCTCCTTCTATTTTTTGTTTGTAACTCTCTTGTAACATCTCTAATCGTCGGCCCTTATATGACCGTATTGTGTTGCAAGTGCCGTAAAACTCTTACCAAAATTAAAAGAGCTAGTAAATGACTCCCCCTGAGATCTATTAGGGGTACGCATAGAAAAAGAAGAAGGTACCAGTTGTGTGCTCCAAATACCAAACAGCCACCATGATGATATATCAGGAATTTTGTACTGATGCAACAGCAATGCTGTAAACTTTTCAGACTTTGGTATCAACAATATTATTGTTTGGATTTGACTCCGTCCACTAAATAGAATTGCATTATTTGTTAGTTTATACTTGTTCTTTCTCTCCCTCACAGCTTCGCCCGTACCTGCTCAACTTCATCCGTGGTGGGCCCCCGGGCTATGCCCCGTACTGTGAGGACCACCTCAGACGTACGTTTGCCAACGGTGCCAGGAACCAGCCTCCCAGCTGGCTGGAGCTGCAGGTACAGTAATAGAGTAGAACAAAAGAGTATTCAGAAATGTTGTTGTCTTTTTTATGTTCCAAAACACAATAATCATTTCGTAGATAGCATAGTACCCCCAAAAAATAAAAAAATAATGATATCTTAATTTTCTCCAAAACTCTAAAAATGTTTTTGAAATACTATGGTCAAAATATATGAGAATAGTTTCATCGTTATCTTTGCGAAGCAGAATATTCTCTGTGGATATCGTAGTTTTATAAATGAGGTCATTGTTCAGTTGGAGTTAACTGGCATTTAAAATAAATTCACAAATGTTTTAGGAAGTTTTGTGATTTGCATGAACATAATGAATGCCTTGCATTTGTTTGATTAAAAATGGTTTTCTTCTAATTTGTTCTATAGTTGGAGAAGTTGAACCCCAATCTTTTTTTGTTGTTGTTTTGTTTTGTTTTTGTACACCACATAATCAAATTTATTATAAATCCTAAAAGAACCGGGAGGCATGTTAAAGTGAAACTATATCGTCGTTCACATTCCTCTGTCTCCCTTCACTATATGACAGTTTGTCTTTCATCACATTCCTA